AGCCGTAGAGTGATCGTTTCTAAAAAAAAAATCGAAAAAAAAAAAAAAAAAGGAGAGAGAAAAGCCTCTGTGTGCCCAAACGTGAAGCCGCAGACGCACAAACACCACTGACAGGCAGTGCTGCGCCATCACCAGCCCCGAACCTCTCCAGGGATCTGCTGCTGCTCACAGCTTTCACAAAGATACAACTTGGATATTTCTCTGCTCACTTTGTCTTCTGAGGACCTCCTTTTTTATGTTCTTTAAGAAAAAAATATTTTTTTTTCAGCATCAGCCCCTGGTTAAATAAAATGATCATTTCAAGGTGTAAGAACCCCCCACAGGTACGGACGGAGGTGGGGAGCCTGTGATCTCCGGAGGAGCAGGAGCGACGTTAGTGCGTAAATCTGAAAGGATCGTTTTTAAAGGAAAGTGTTTTTTTTTTTTTTGGAGAGGTTGTGAGGTGATTCCGTTTGACGCGTATTGGCACCAATTCGGAGGACTTATCTGTTGCGGAGCAGAGGTGACTGAGAAATTAAAGAGAGTATTTTGGATAGTTTCCCCCCCGCAACTCCTCAACAAGGAAGCAAATGTTGCTCTCCGTATTGCTGCTGCTTTCCCGTCATCGGTCCTCACACTGGGATTCAATCTGCCGCTTCCCCCCGGAGCTGCTGGGTGCGTAAAAAGACGCGCAGCGGTGCGGAAGAGCCCGAGCGGGAGAGAGAGAGAGAGAGAGAGAGAGAGAGAGGAACCCGAGGAGGGAGATCCGGACAAGCCTTCCCGGGGGGCTCCCAGTCTGTGGGAGCAGGTGTATTTCAGCTGTTTTACCCCCCACCCTCTCTGAAAGCCAAGATGTCTCTGCTGCCTTCGAGGTTCATATACCTGTAAGTGCTCCACAGCTTGAAGCTCACGCATTCTTACCAATAGAAGTCGCTAAAAACTTCATATTTGTGCGTCGGGGGGGTCACGCAGGTTGATTWTTTTTCCCCATGTAATTGCCTGAGATTCACCCCCGCAACCCTTCTCCYTCTTCTCTCCTCTTAGGTGTTTACATTTTCTGGTCCTCTATTTCCAGGTACAGGTACGTTTTTTTTTATTCTTTCTGTTCTGTGTCCACTTTAAAAAAATATGTAAATTATGATTTTGTCTTTGATATAAACCTGTTATGTGATGCTTTATATATAWATTAATTGGGAGAAAACGACTCAAAATTTAGAATGATATAGAATTTTAAAAGTTTTATATAAAAACAACAGAATCCAGATTAATTTAGTGGCACATTTAAAAGCCCAGCTGTGCTGTAAATATTTAGACCCCTGCAGTCGAAATCTGCCATCTGAGCAGATGATGTCGCCTCATTTTTTACGAGTTTCGTTGGAGTTGGAGCAGTGATTACTCACAGGCATCCACTCAGTTAATTATCTGGACCTGCTTTGATTCAAAAACAGGGTCTCCTTCATCACAGAGCGTGATCAGTCTGTTTGGGGGACTTGTTTGCACCAGTTTTTCAGCATTTTGTACAAAAACAGCTGCATGATAAACAAAATAATCCCCAAAAATAAACTTATTGGTTTGAATCTGACATCTATTTCTGAACAATTAGACCAGAGTTGGACTGTTTTAAAAAAAATACATGTTTTAATAAACCAGAAAAGGCATATTGTTAGAATAAATGTGGAATGTGAACAAATAATTCATACTGGAGGAAATAATTAGGATCATTTTGCTAATTCTTCAGCTAAATTCTGTTTTATTTCTCCCCATTTAGAGCTAAACAGCTTATATAT